CCCCAGCTCACACACACCGGACCTCCTCCGGAAATGAGAGGGCGGCCTGGGGATGGGGTCTCTTCCCTGGAAAGAGCACCCAGGACCCCCTCGGCCTCAAGTCCAGACTTACAGCCGCTGCATAGCCATGTTGCCGCCGGCACCCTCCGCCATTCCATGTCCTAGGCTGGGAGATTCTGAGCTGAAATCGGAGGAGGAGGCGCGGAGGCTGCCTTCTCCCCCACTCTGTGGCCTGGGGTCGGGTTGAGATCTCAGAGGAGGCAGGCAGGCTAGCCTGTGCCCAGTCCGAAGCCTGCCGTAAAGATGGGAGAAGGCTGGGTGTCCCGCGGGTCCCAGTGTCTCAGGGCAGCCGACAACCTTGGTGCTGGAAGGAGGGAGTCGTGGGCCCCTCCCCCAGCCCTGCCTGGCCAGGACCCTCTGTGGATTTGGACAAGCACCGACTTTGGCAGGTGTGTGCAGGTGCAGGAGGCTCAGTCTTAGCCCAGAGATCCTAGGCCCAGCTGGGGGAGGGGGAGCCTGGAATGGATGGCCCAGGTACAGCCAGGAACATTGTGGGAGGAGGATCCCTGCTGGAGTAAGTACCCAGGACCCTGATCTGTGCTCCTCTTCACCCCACTTCCTGCCCCCTATCTGGTGCTAGGCAATTGGAAGGTGGATTTCAGAGAGGTGGACAGTGGGTGTTGTGGGGAAGGGTTGATGTGCCTTCCCCATAATCCTGGCCTTAGTTGGGGAGGAGGATGAGGAGGTATCTCTGCTCCAGAGCCTAGGAGAAGGAGGCCTAGACATCATACCCCATTGTTTTTCCAACTAATGAGCTGATGCCTTACCCTCTCCTGGGGTTCCCACCCCAGCCAGGCCCCAGCTGGGCTCTGGCGCCAGCCCCTCTTCCCACCAGGGGCTTGCTGGCTGACTGGCCCTCAGGTGGGCAGTGACCCCAGTGGATTTCTAATGGCATCATCAGGGCTAGAAACCTCCCCTGAGGCCCCGAGCTGAGCTGGGAAGACCAGCCGGAGGGGACCAGAAGGAGGAGGCCAGGCCTGAAGGTTCAAGGGTTGGGGCCTTTGTGATTAGTGCCTCAGGGTAACAAGGCTAAGGTCTGAGACTGACTCCACCTGGAAGGACACACGCTGCCTCTGGACAGGCACTGCCCTCCTACCTGGAGGCCCCCCTGCAGTGGGAATACAATGGGCTTAGGGGAACCTGGGTTCAAATCCTAGCTCCACCACTTTCTAGCTGCAATACCTGGGCAGGTGTTTGTCCTCCTTGAGTCCCATCTCCTAGGTGAGCTAATCAATATTATTGGTCTCTTAATGTACTGGTTAAGCTGGTGCTTAACAAGTGTCAGCCCTGCCTCCGTACCAGCGGGCATTTAAATAGCTCCTTTCTGTTCAAACAGTTTCCCAGTGCTGGCTGTTTAGCTCTCGTAGCCACCCTGGGAGTGGGGATCGGTCTAC